AGCTACAGATAGGCATCTGATTTTCTTCTCTCCTTCCCTCCCTCTCTCTCCTTCATTCCCTCCCTCCCTCCCTCCTTTCTCCCCCCCTCCCTTTTTTTGACCCTGTGGATTGAATGGATTGAACTCAGAGCCTTGCACATGCTAAGCCTGGGTTTTACCACTAAGCTATACCATCAGTCCTCTAGTTATCATCTGAGACCACTGTCTGCCTATCTTTCTCTGTCTTTGACCAAGAAAAGCACTGACTTTCCACAAATACATGTTTCTTCTTTTTTTTTTTTTTTTTTGTTATTTTAAGTTTTTTTTTCTTTTTTCAAATAGCCTGCTAGAGACAAATTTAGTAGGTAAGAAGTTTATTTGAAGTCTTACTACAGTTAGTGATTTCACTGTGGGAGATGAGATGAGAAATGAAGGTAGTCATGTCCTTGCAGGCTTGCCTCTTTGCAGTCTTGGCTTCAAGTAAGGACATTAGAGGAAAGCATGTATATGAGCTATGGAAATGGGTTGCCTCAATTGGGAGACTGCAAAAACTTCCCTTTGTTATAGCTATGCTTGCAGCATACTGACACACTCTTTTCTTGAGCCCACTGGGAGCTGACTAGTGATCTGATATCCTTATCCATATCCACCTACATGGATATGTGTATCTCCAGTACTTTGTTGAGCTTGAACATTCTTGTCCTCTTCACCTGTGCTGGTGCTGCATTTAACATGTTTCAGGGACTGCAAAGAGGTTGGCATATGCGTAGTAATGGCTATGTAATGGCCTTTTGTTAAGGCATCCTGAAACCTGTGTTTTTAATGCAGATGGAGTGTGTCCTAGGCAATGTAGATTACATTACCTTGCTGTGGGAATGACAGGACTTCTGTGAAATCCCCAAGTGTCCAATTGTTCCAGCTCCCATGAGCAGCCACCCTTGACAAAACAGAATTCATCCAGATTCCTCTGCTAATCTTGTGAAAGAAAAGAGGAAGTGTTGCTAGTGAGTCAGCTGCCTTCATTAGCAAGCATATACATGATTACCTTTTTCAGCCCAGAAAATTAAAAGAGCCTGGAAATTACTCTCTCTTCAATTTTCTTAATAGTGTTCCCTTGTACTTCTATGGGTTATAGGTTTCAAATGTCACAAAACATTGGAAAAAAAAAAATAGTCTCTATATTTGCATCACCTTTATAAAACTGAAAGCATTCACAACAAGTTTTGTATAGGAAAATAACAGCACACAAGTAAGATGGCTATTGAAGGGAGGGAGAGACTTTCACCTATAGAAGTGCTGTTGTTGGCTTAAACTGTCAAAATATTTTGTTAGAGCCTTACTGTACTAGATTTTCTGTTTACTCACAATTTTTACCAGTGAATATCTTAAATATTTTTATATTACAAAAGATGTGTTCATGATTATAAGTCAAAATGCATAAAAGGTACAAGAAATTCATTCATATTCTCCTTGTTTTATTTATCATTCACAAATAGGACTTTTATTCTTTAAACAAAATTGAGATCACATTACATTAATTTCTTTTCTCATTTTTTCCTTGCACTGTAAATATTTCTTTATAAATTTGTTTTAGTTCACAGTGTGTCATGGACACAACTCCATAGGTAGATCTAACACATTTTTTTTTTAACTTGGCTGTATAAAATTCTATAGCACAGTATATGTAGTTCATTCACATTCTTTTCCTATTGAACTTTCACATTATTTTCAATGCTTTAATAAACCTTCTTATCAAGAAATTTAAATATCCCAGTTAAGAATTACACTATACAAATTGAAATTTGTATATCCAATGTACAAAATACAAAGAGAATTAGAAGCTCTTTTTCAATATAAGATTATATTCCTTTAACTTGCATCTTGCTCAAGGAATTGACTTTTTTATTTCATATATACAGCATTTAAATATTTAAAATAGTACATCTTAATTTTTTTTATATCTGTTGCTATTGGTAAAGCTCTATCCTTGTCCCTGGTACCAATTGAATACCAAAAACACAGTTTTGAGAAAAAAGTAAAAAGAAGGTTTATTGCTTTGCTAGCAAAGGAGAAACATAGGGGACTTCAGTCCCAGGGGTTGTGATTGTGTCCATCAGCAGGAACAGGGGGCTTTTAAAGAGGTGACTCAAAGGCAACAGTCCATGTGTTCTCTGTTGGAGTTGTATTCACTTGCTCATTTGGGAGATAGTCAATTCTGAGATCTTCTGGTGCCATCCCCAAAGTCTGGATTACTTCAGATTACTATGGTGGGTGTGTACTCAGGGACAGATACCTCTGCCTAGGATGAAGAAGAAAGGTAAAAATAAATTGCAGTGGCAGAGCAGTAACGGTTATATTCAAAGCATAAAGTGGACCACTGTTACATTGCTGTCTTCAGTTTTAAGATTTTGGACTTTGAGTTATCACACTGCTTTTCCAGGCTTATCATGGTTAACTTGTTTGGAGTTACACAGGGAGATTCTTCACATATATAAACACTTGCTCAAGGCTATAATGTACCATGTGGTGTTAACTGAGGACAGAGTGGAGCCTAAATATGGAGTCTGCTTCCAAACCACTGTCAGTCATTTGTCGGAAGCCATAGAGAAGAAATCTTAATTAAAATTCAAGTATCATGGCTACAGGGGCTCACAAGTTAATAAGATAGAGAAGAACATGTGAAATGGTAGTAATTTAGAAACTTATCTCTCTTTCTCTCCATATCCCTCGTAATTAAACACACACACACACACAAAAAAAAAAAAACAAACAACAACAACAACAACAACAACAACAACTTTTTCCTATAAAAGTCAATGAAAAGCACAATACTAAAGGAGCTGTACATATGACTAGTTGCATATATCACAGGGATTTGGAAGATCATTTCTTGATAATCCATGTTATTTTTCTTTCAGAGTGAATTGAAACTGGATTTGTAGCCATTAATGCCAGATAAGCAGCTATGCAACTTTAAGTGAACCATTTAACCTCTCTGAGCCCTAGTTTTTACAGCTACAAAGTGAGGGTCATATTTTATACTTCATAGAATTATTGGGAGGTTTAAATCAGATAATAGATAATATAAGTGTTCATGCAGTATTGAAAAAATGCTGGTTTCCCTCTTAAAATAACTCAAGGTCTCTAGTAGGAAGATTCTTATTGTTAAGATTAAATAGCATCCATAAAAGGATTGCACAATACACCTGTAATCCTAGCAGCTCAGGAGGCTCAGGCAGGATAATTGTGAGTTCAAAGCCCACCTCAGCAAAATTGAAGTGCTAAGCAAATCAGTGAGACCCTGTCTCTAAATAAAATACAAAATAGGGCTGGAGATGTGACTTGGTGGTCAAGTGGTTCCCCTGAGTTCAATCCTTGGTACTCCCCAAAAAAGAAGGGTTACAGAATAAAAAGAATGTAGTAAAATGTAAATAATCATGTCAAAAATCAAACACGTTAAACATTTTTATAGTTACAAAGAGTTCATATTATCTTATCTCATCTGTTTTTTAGCAGAATCCTAAGAGCCATAAAGGCTAATTGTTATGCCTAATATATATAGGGGAAAAAAAGTGTGACTTGTATAAATTAAATGGCCTGACCACTGTTACCTTACAAGTGTATAATGGAGTGAATTCTTTTTGACTAACCGCCCAGTGCTCTTTACATTACTCCAATCTATTTGTTCATGCTGGACAGTTGGCAAGTATCAAACAATTCAAAATCTAATGGATTCTGAGATTGTGTCTGAATGATACTTGGAAAAAGAAGACAACATCTAGAGTAGTAATGGACTGCCTCTTTTCTTGGTCATTTTCAGGATACTCCTGGCTTCTTGAGGACGATGCTAAGCTCAGTATACATTTTTTTAGGTGCTTTGGATCAAATGCATCATGTTTTTATCACTACATCACTTTGTTTCTAGCATTTTCTGAAGGTAGCTATTTGGAAAGGACTCCCTTCAAACTACTGTGAAAAGATTGGTTTCCTTTGTGTAGGCTAGGAATCACATATTCCTAAATTCCACAAATGCTGAACTCCATCCTTTCTTGATCCTTAGGCCGTTTTGTGAACAGATGTAACCTTTCCTCCCACACATGCCTTCTTTTTCCCCTTTAAGAGTGCAAATGAACCTAGAGATGGATAGTATATCATACCTCTGTGCTCTCAGTGCCTGGCTAAAAATATAACATATGATAATTTCTTTAAAAATGCTTTTGCTTTTGAAATACTATTCCAAGTTAACTTTTTAGGAAAACTTTTTTTGAGGAAAAACATGTGAAAGAGGATCAGTTTTGAATGTGCCATAACACCTCCCTCCCTCCTTGTACTCATGTTGATCTCTTGAGAATTCTTTCTTGGGGACAATTCCCAGGAAAATAATGGATGTTGAGAAAAGTACTAGCAATTACCATGTCCACTTGAGGGCAAGACAGAGTAAAAGAGGTCCTAACTCTCTCTAACATAAACATGAATCTATTGAAAACTGGCTTCAAGGCCAGAACAGATGGAAGTACACAGCTCTCTGTGAGAAAGAGCCTTTTGAGAGAAAGTAGAATTTCTTATTTTCAAAGAGTAAGAAAAGAGCCTGTTTTGTTTACTCCCACAATTATAGTGATTTGGTTTCAGCCTAAACAAGCACCACAAGTAAATACTGGCAGGCAGAGTCTCTCTGAGAGCAGCCAAACAAATCAGTTTCATTTCCTTCCAAGCCCTGGTTTGGCTGATCCATCCATAGAAAAGCAGAACAAAAGGCAGGGCCTACTGCACCCTAATGTTCCAAGTGGCTCATTCAGCTCAGGAGTTATTTATAGTAATCTGGCTCCTGCAGAGGACTTCCTGCTCTATTCAGCAAATGGAAGCTCCAGGACCAAAGTGGTAGCCGTAGCTGAGGGTGTAAGTGGTGCTTAGATCTGCTGGCTCATTTTGTTTTTGATCTAGCCATGCCTTTGGACCACTGTGGTGAACATTGCTCTCTGAACAGGCTCATCTTCTTCTTGTTGTGTTTATTCTATTTGTAGATGTTGCTATGAGGACAGATTCATCAAAAATGACTGATGTGGAGTCTGTGGTCACCAATTTTGCATCTTCAGCGAGGACAGGCCGCCGCAATGCCTTACCAGACATCCAGAGTTCAGCTGCCACTGGCGGAACCTCTGATTTGCCCCTCAAACTGGAGGCCCTCTCCATGAAAGAAGGTAGTGCTCGTAATCCTTGCAAAATCAGCAGTACTCCTGGCTTTTGTTTTGTTTTGTTTTTTGTTTGTTTGTTTTTGTTTTCTAAAACCTCTCAGGTCTTGTTTAAAGCTAAGTAGATTTTTCTGGCTTTCTGAAAGAAGACAAAAATTTCATCTTTTCATTTAATAGTATATATGGGAAAATAATATTCTATTTCTTTATTGAATGTATGTGATCATACACAGATCTAACAGAAATAGAGTTGAACAAAAATGATATTCCCTTTAAGGAACATACAAAATTGATTGAGAAGCACTCAGAAATGAAATAATTTTCTTTCTCCCATTCCTTAGCCAATCATTCTGGAAGCTTCTGCTTCATTGTAATATTCTACAGTCCTTCCACTCCTTCTACTGAAGAAGTTTATTATTAATTCCAGATGAAATTTTTAAGGCGAATCTTTGGATAAAAAGTGATCATTTTTCAACTAGTAGAACAAGTTAAGAAAACAGTGAGCTGTCAAAGCAAAGAAGGAAAATCTGGGATCTTTTTCCTTATTATTTGCATACAGTTCCTATTGCTTCCTGAGTTTAGGCTTTTGAAAATAAAAAGGATATTGTTTTAGTCAGCTTTTTCATTGCTATGACCAAAAGACCCGACAAAAGCAATTTTAAGGAAGAAAAGTTTATTTAGGGGCTCACAGTTTCAGAGGTCTTAGTCCATAGAAAGGGGGCTTGAGATGAGGCAGAACATCATGGCAGAAGAGTGTAGTAGAGGAAAGCATCTGGGGACATGACACCAGGAAGGAGAGAGTGAGAGCACACCTCCCTTCATGGACAAAGTATAAACCCCAATACAACTCCATCCACACATCTCCTCCATTCATACCCTACCTGCCCATAGTTACCACTCAGTTAATCCCTGCCAGGGAATTAATTGACTGTTGGGGTTCAGGCTCTCAGAACCCAATCATTTCACCTCTAAACCTTCTTGTATTTTCTCACAAATGAGCTTTTGGGGGATACCTAATATCTAAACTATAACATGTATTTTCAATAAAAGTATTAGAAGAAGCCCTTCACTTAAATGTGTGGATAAAGAGTAGAACTGGGGATGAACTTAATGCTAGAGCACTTGCTTGGCATGCATGAGGCCCTGGGTTCCTCATTATCTATAGTAATCTACCTCTTACAACTTGGTAAACCTCACAGGAGGACAATGATGCCTTATAACAAATCAGCACGAAGTGACAGAGGGTGGCATCCCAGAAAACTAGAAAGTCTCAAAATGCCTTTTCTTACCTCCACTCTTACTATTTATTTGATCCATCATTCATCTTAGTACCTACTACATGCTAGACATTCTAAGAGCTGGAGATATAGAAGTGAGTAAGACAGTCATAAACTCCTGCTGTCTTACATCTTATATTGCAACAGGAGACTTAGATTATGAATAAAGAAATATATAAATTAAGAGTCAAAGAACTAAATTAGGATGGTGTGGTACAGTTACTGGGTGACTGTTTTAGATTGAGAAATTAGGGAAACCCTCTCTAAAGTCTGAAGAACAACTCTATATTTTGAATAACTGAATAATCCTGCCACCAGAAGACAGGAGGTAAGAGGTACACTCTGCAGAAGGAGCAGCTGGTAAAATGCTCATAGGGTGGAACCAAATGAATGTTGTCAAAAAATAAGAACTGGTCAACCATGGCTTGAGGGAAGCACATGATGGGGAAGGTTCTACAGGATGACTTTGGAGAGATTAGCCAGGGGTAGATCTTGTGGGATTTTAGAAATTTGGGTAAAGAAATAAACTTTCATTTTTGAGTGGGAGGATTTCAAATGGGGGAGTGAAATCTCATTTGGTGTTTTAAAATATTTACTCTGTTATGTGGAAAATGGATTGTAGGGAAGCAATAATTGAAATAGTGGGATCAGTGAAGCAATCCTCATTAGGAAATCTTTTCAGGCCAAATTAAACATTTAGACTTGCAAGAACACATTGGCACCATTCTACTCAGAGGTGTCCCGGTAAAGAAGCTTCAGCAGGCAAGCAGGGAAGTATCATGTAATCTTCTAATTCGGAAGCCCTTATAGGAATTCATATGGCAGACCTGGGAATTCATCTCTTGTGTCTCCTCCTCATGAAGTGAAAACTCAGCTGCAAAGAGACATGGTCAATAGGAGCAATGGGCTAGAAGCTGAGTCTCCCATGAGCTAATACTCCAACAAGTCCTTGAACACTGCTCTCTACTTCCCAGCTAAAGACATGCTCATTTATGAGAGTCACTGTCCACAGGGAAGCCCAGTGCTATGGTTTCCTATGAGGCATCTAGAGTTCATATCTAGATTTTCTTAATACAGATGTATTTTACCATTTGAGTCATATTTATCATAAGTTTAGAACCAGGCTGACATTGTACCTTAGTATGGTTTCCTGGGTAACAGAGCTAGAAAATTAATCCCGAGTCAAGTTTGTCCTTAGAGTAGGAGAAAGCATTTTTGCTAATCTTTACTCAAGGAGATATTGTTGTATAGTCCAATTAGAGATGATGGCTCAAAATAGATAGTAATGATGGAGAGAGGTGGGTGGGTTAGGAATAGGTTTTATAGGCAGACTTGCTAATGAATTGGATGTGGTGGAGATGCCTATGACAATTCTAAATGGCCATATTGAGTAAGCAATTGGATATGAAGTCCAGAGAAAACCATTTAAGATATGTATATTTTTGAGTACTTGACCATGTAATTGTCAAAATATATTTTATACAATAGAGGAGAGTGTGCAAATGAAATTACCCAAAGGAATAGATTATCTTTCATGGGAGTACATTATCTTTCAATACATATGGGAAAATAAAGTAAAAACGAGAAGGAAACTTAGAAAGTCCTCCCTTTTATGCTTTTATTAGTGCATTATAATTATACATATTCATATTTGCTCCAATTAATTCCCCAGTAATTTCCTTTGCCTCCTCTCCTCCATCCCCTTCCTCCTGTTCCCCTTTCTATATTCTTCTTTCCATATATCCATATATATATAATATATTACACATTTATATATATATATTACACATTATATATAATATATATTATATCATATATTTATATATAATATATTACACATATATATAATTATATATATATATATATATAATTGGTGAATTGCAATTACACATAAAAGTGGAGTTCATTGTGACATATTCATACATGCATATAGCACAATTTGGTCAATTTTATTCCTGTTCTTTCCCTTTTCCTCTCTTCCTCCCTTCACCTTGATTGCTACCTCAACTCTACTGGCCTCCCTTGTGTTTTTATGAGATCTTCCCTGCCCCTTTTTAAATTCTGTTTTTCTCTATAGTTTCTAGAGATGAGAGAAAACACTCAACCCTGGATTTCCTGAGTCTGTCTTATTTTACTCAGCATGATGCTTGTTTTCCATTTGCATCCATTTACCAGAAAATGATATGATTTCATTCTTCTTTGTGACTGAGTAGAACTCCATTGTGTATATACACCACATTTTATTTATCCATTTCTCTATTGATTAACCCTTCAAGCAAGTTCAGTGGCTTGCCCAAACTCACAATTAGGTGACGGTAGAAACTCTGTTTCTAAGGCCATCGCCTTTCCTATTGTATCAACTTTTCTCATGGAAATTCTCTTGGATGTTAATATATCACATACAAAAATTATGCTGTGGTCAAATAAATTTGGAATTGCTGGCTTAGCCATGATTGGTGTTTTACCCTTCTCAGAATAAATAAAAACAAGGATTTTTATGAGTTTTCACTGCAGAGATTTTAACATGCACTTGTGCCTATAACACAGTAAGGATGGGACAAGCAGCCTCTTTGCCTCATTTCCTTGACCATCTTTGAAGAAGCATCTTACAGAATTATTGTTCTGTGAGGTACTCTGAAAGCATTGCACTACAGGTCATGATCTAACAAGGGGTGGTAAAAGCAATTGACACAAAGAAGAGTAAAAAACAGGGATAAAAATAGAAAAAAAAGTGGATAATTCTGATTTATCTTAACCTATTTTATTAAAAGCATAACTCAGTAAATAGTTCAAGTACCTAAAAGATACATCATTGGATTCAGCAAATAATTTTTATATAAAATTATACAGGTTACCACTTACATAAATATAATTTTTTTTGTTTGTTTTCAGAGCTAGGATTCTGGAGAATAGAATCAACCCAGATAATTTAGGAGGCAAGATTTTCTTACTTTTCCCAAAGTTATTATTCATTAGGAGCATGAGAATGAGAAACAAGTGTTCAATAAGTTTATTCACATTTGAAATGAGTGGAACAAGTTTAAATGGAGAGTTTGATGTTTAAGACTTAGAGAAATTATGTCGAAGAAATATGTTAAAAGCATTTCATGACTACAGAACAATAACAGTAACTATCCTTGGAAGTGCATAATATTATATGCAAAACAACTATTTTGTTTGACTACTCTTTTTCTTTCATTAACATCAAATACACAGTTAAGAACAATTATAGCCTCTTTGAGTAGTTTGGTATTTTGTTTTATCTCCAGTCATCTTTGAATATACTTCTAAGCATGTGCTTTCATAATTCAATGCAAAAAGTGAGACTGGTAAAGAAGGAATTTGGAACCATGTTTCGTATTTTTAGCTGACAACCTGAACAAGATACTAGATTGTCAACTATCCTGCTAGTCCGCATCTAACCAGTATCATGAGTTTCTAGTTCATTTCACAGAAGGAGAACTTCTTCAGGGGCCTTCATATCACTATCACTCAAATTAGATAAAAATAATATTCTTTATGAACAAGAGTATAATTTACTTATTTGACTTAGAGAATAGTCAGTATTCTCTGGAACAAGAATATTAACAGAACTGACATTTCTTCTTAGAAAGTCATAATGCTTTCTAAGTAGTTTGCTCAGAACCAGAGATAGCAAATGTTGCTTAAATCATTCTAGGAATAATCTGACAATTTATATTTCATATGGGCCTAGAGTACCATTTCCTGTCAAGTCTGTTTTCCTGAGGGAGTTCTTTCAATGAACACTTATTAAGCACCAGCCATTTTTTTTTTCAAAAGGCAAGTGAGTGTGACAGCTAAGACTCGGACTCTCTCTTGATCCTGATTCTTTTTGCAACTATTATCCCATTTCTGGTTTTGTTTATAGTAAAATTCTTTGAAAGGCTGTCTGCTTTTGTGCCTCCCGATGTTCTTCGCCCAATTCTTTCTCTAAGCCTAATACAATTAGGCTTAATTGTATTAACCACCCAACTGCTATTTCAAGCTCATAAACGACATTGTCTCTGCTAAAATCAGTGGTCCACTCTTCCTTTGCATCTTGCATATCTTTTAGCAGGTATATCATGATTATTGCTTCTTCCCTGAACCATTTTTCTTCCCTTAGCTTTCAGAACACTTTGCCCTCCTGGTTTTCTCTCTGTCTCACTGGCTGCCTCTCCTTGGCTTCTCCTTTCTCATCACCTCTGTCTCTTAATGGGTTGGAGGGTACCAGAACTCAGTCTTTGGACATCTTCTCTACCATTTCTCTAACACTTGTAATATCCAGTTTCTTGGGAATAATGGTCATCTTTCCAATAATTCAGATTTGTGCCTCTATCCTGGAGCTCTCTTCAACTTCATGGTCTCATATAGCTGTCTAGTTGTCATCAGTGTTTACATATCTAATACAGACTCAAACTTAATGGGTATAAGAGCAAACTCCAGATATTCTTCCTAAAAGCTATTTTTCTTCCATCTTCCTCTTCTCAGTGAGTGGTAATTTTATAATTCCAGTTGATGAAATAAAAAATACTGGAATCATCCTTCTCTCCACTCTTTGTCTCACATTTTATATTTCATCCTTCAGCAAATACTATTGAAATTGGTCCATAAAGCTGCCTATAACATATAGCTTCCTGCTACCTCTTGGATTCCATCTTCTGATTTTTATTCTTCACCATGTCCCACTAGGCAGTTCCTTTCTACACATTGCTGCCTTGGGCATCACTATTGTCTTTGCTTGAAATGTTCTTCTTCCTGCTGTCATAACTTCTCAATTCTACTCAAATCTCCCTTCCCAGTGAAGCATTCCCAGCTAATCCTATGTAAAACTGCAACCTCCAGCTCCAACATTTCTTGAAAACTCCTATTTCCTACCTTTGCTTCAATATCCTTACTGCCATTTAATTTCTCACATAATATACATTTTACTGATTTTGCTTATTGTCCATATCATTCACCAGAAGTTCTCTGAGAGCAGAATTTATGCTTCACATACAGTATGTGCTTAATAAATATTTGATGCATGAAAGTTGAAGTTCTGAATAGAGTCCATCAACTTTATCTTCAAAGATGTCACCGATTGGCAGGAGCAATTTGCAGGGACTAATAAAGATTTAGTGTTATTTTCAAATGGAAGAACAAAAGAGTGTACATTTTGAAGGATGGCAGGGAACACGGTATGTGCAATAATTGAAATTGAAAAGACGTCTTTGTTAGTTTGCGATGGCAGTGATTTGAAGAAATGAAGGAGCCAGAGAAGGGGAAAGACAGATGACATGTAGTGGTGCAGGGTTGAAAGGGTGGAAGCAGGGGATGATCACTAGTCCACTTCTAGATGAGGCAAAAGGGTTTGGGATCATGAAGTTATTAGGCCTGGGTAGGAGGAGCAGGAGCAGAGCCAGCTCCAAACGTGTGCAACAGGGCAGTTACACAGGGCACTGGGCTCCTGAGAGACCTGCACTACTCTTGCCATTGAAAGCTTTCAGAATTTATGAACAAGTTTGCTGCATTTTCACTTTTCACGGGGTGCTGGTAAAATACAAAACCAATGCTTAGAAATACTTTCCCTGTAATAGGAGGAAGAACATGACGAGTAAGCGCAGATTACAGAGGGTTTTAGAGATTTAATGGCAATAGAGCTCCTATCTGATGACTTTGGTTTAATTTTTCCTGTGAAGTAGAAAGTCGAGTCATGTAGGTCAGTTTCAGTGGTACACGCCTGTAATCCCAGTAGCTAGGGAGGCTGAGGCAGGAGGATCATGAGTTCAAAGCCAGCCTTAGCAGCAGCAAGCTACTAAGTAATTCAGTGAGACCCTGTCTCTAAATAAAATACAAAATAGGGCTGAGGGTATGGCTCAGTGGTCAAGTGCCCCTGAGTATCAAAGAAGAAAGGAAGGAAGGAAGGAAGGAAGGAGAGAGAGAGAGAGAGAGAGAGAGAGAGAGAGAGAGAAAGAGAAGTCATCTAAATGCAAAGGGAGTAAAAGGTATGAAGAACCTAGAGAAAACAAAATGTAGCACAGGGAGGTGGTTAAGGTGTGGCTCATGGAGCCATTTGGCTTGGGTCCAAGTTGTCACTCTGTAACTTACTCTATGACTTTGGGCAGTCATTTAACCTGTTTGTGCTTCAGTTTACTATTTGTAAATAGAGATTGTAATCACACCTTAAGAGACTTTCTGACTTTCTGACACTTAACAACTATAGACTAGAAGAGAAAATTGATTAGGAGAAAGTAGATCCCCAAACCTGCTCCTTCATATAGTTTCATGTCTGGATTGAAGACAAAATATGTGCTCGTCAAGTATAAAATGATTAGGGTAGGTAAAGGAAAAAACAACTCTTATATAAATTAAGAGCACTATATATATATATATATATATATATATAACCTTTTATATTATATATCATATTACATATATATAAATATAAATTTATCTTTTTTTTCCAGATGAAAAAAAGAAAGAGGAAGAAACAACCAAAGACCAATTGGAAAATCCCCCAAATGAAGAAAATTGAAGGCTGATAACTAAGAGTGCTGAATTTATGCACTTTGAAAGACTTAGTGACTATGTTTTCCTGAGATGTTTGATCTGGTGGTAACTGTGGTGACATGTGTCATTAGATAATTTTGTTGTGGCGCTATTCATCTGGATTGCAACCATGATGTCCAATGTAGGTTATTAAATGGTAGGTTACTTACAAATTGCACCCAAGGGGAAAGTTAAGAAAGTATGAGCACTTAAATACATATCATTGTCTGTAAACCCAACAAAATTCACTGTCCTCTCATAGATTTATTTAGCCAGATATATGTTAAATTCCATTTTTATGGGGATAGAGAAGAGGTTTATTGACAAGTACAAACCAAACACTATTATTTTAAAACTTTGTAGACTTTGTAGGAAATTATATTTTGGGGATAAGAAGGAATAATAATAAAAAATCACATAGATGGAGTATGTTTATTTTTAATCAAAATTGTACCAGATTTTTCCCCACCTTAAAAAATTTTTGAAAATATTGTAAGTTTAACAATATAAGCATTTCTAGGATGTTTTTGTCTGATATTTTGCGTCTATTCTGTGCACACTGTGATTTTTGATGTGAATCCTTAGAATGTAACATTTGTGACAAATTGTTTATATGGAACATGCCTATTAAATGAATTTCACTCTCTTCTTTAACTATGATATATGTACATGTGTGTATATTTTATTTTAATGTGAATTATATTAAATCCTTTACTAGTCTCTTTACAATGTCTTTTATTATTCTTAGGGCTTTTGTGTATGTATTATGTCTAAATTTCCTCAGGAATGCAGATCTTACTTTTGATATCTTTCCTAAAGTAGCTTAACAAAACAGTAAACACTTAAGTATTTGATCAATAATCTAAGTGGAGATAGCAAAACACATGCTTTTAACATGTATTTAAGCACATATTTTAAAAGGATCAAAAACAAACCAAAGCATTAGTAAGTTTTGATTTATTAAGTATTTTATGAAAATAATAGACTTCTGGTTTTTAAAAATGTTGATTTAAATTAATTTATTTTCATTTTCAGATACAAGGCATGCAATTATAATTTGTGGACTTAATCTGTATATGTTAAGAAAATAAACTCTTTCACTAAAGAACTTTGTTGCCAATATAAGTCTCCTTCATTTTATGTTCTGAAGTATGCCACATGGGATATGGTGATGCATTCTGAAGGATGAAGTTAATAGTCTTTACAGCATAAATCACCTCCTGCTTATTATTTTATTGACAAATCCTACCCTTAAGTGTTATATTTTTCATAGGGATGTATTTCAAATAATTTTGATTGTTTTAAGTTCTCCAATATAAATTTTTTAAAAATAATATTTTAGGTGCAGTGCTAATTTAATATTCATTAAAATGTATTATAGCCTTAAAATTGTTTTTCTGAAGGTTTATGACATGAGATTGAGTTACAGTATGAAAAAAGATGAGAAAAGAAGGGTGGCTTTCAATGTGGGTAGGGAGCAGTATGTCCTCTCTAGGACATTTGGCAATGTCTGGAGACTTGGCAGGCCTGGGAGAGAGGGAGCTACTGGCACCTAGTGGGCAAAGGCCAGGTGTGCTGCCAAGCAGCAAAGCATACAATAACCCTATAGGACAGTCCCACAGCATAAAATTACCAGGGTGTTAATAGTGCTGAGGTTCAGAAACTCTAGAGTTAAACCTGAAGAACGGTGGATTTTGGAATCTGATCACCTGGGTTTGAATTCTAGCTCTGCTAAACACTAGCTGTGTGATCTTGGGCATTTTACACCATTTTTCTAAGTCTCAGTTGTATCTCTGGAATGGTATTAAAATTAGTGCATACTTTATGTGGTGGGTGAAAGCAGTAAATGAAATGGCAAAACAATTGAATAATGACTGGTAAAACAATTATTTAGTAAACACTGGCTATACCACCATCATATGCATATACATATATATGTATATGCATATCTCCAAGGTGTGAGTTATTGTCAGAATATTTGCCAACAGAAGGATTCCACCCCCACCCTTAGGAGCCCAGACTAAGCAGAATAATATGCCAGTAGTATTTTAAAGTAAAACTGGGTTCACTTCTCAATAGTTTCATTATTTAAAAAATTCAAACCATTTGTGGAGAAACTAGGGTACTTTGCTGTAGCAAGTAGTTACTTTCAACAAAGCTACCTCCTTGGTGCTTATTAAAGAATGACTCTGTGCCCATTTTTGCCATTGTCTTTGTACAAGGCACCCACTTTACCTAATAGGTAGAAAGTCTTAATACTGTTAGATAACAAGGCTAAAAAGGAACAATAAAGCTATAAAAAGAGACTATCTGAAAACTTAACTCTGTTCAAGGAAATAAAAAGAAGAACATGCTAGAAACCCATTTTGTGTTGTGAATCCTGAGATGTTTTTGTACTCTGGGCAGGAAAGGTTTGAACTCTCTTAAATGTGAGTGTCTATAGAGGTAGGTGTCTAACTTGCAAATGGAGATAATGTATTCACTTTCCTTTTGCTAGTTCAAGTCGTTTGAACCTCTTGGACAGATAGTGTAAAGAGATAGAGAAAACAAAATAAGAGAAAGATGCTTCTGGAGTTTCTAATCTGTTGTCCTGTCTATGGAACCTGGCAACTTGAAAGTATTAGCTTTGCCATTTGCTCTCCTAACTCTGTTTTGAGTTATTTTACTCTGTACTTCCATTTCTTCAATGTGAAAACTAGTGAATTATTACAAGGATTAAATGAGTGAGTACTAGCAAATTGCAAAGCTAATGCCTGACACAAAGCAAAAACTATTATTATTTGCCAAAAAACATAGGGTCACAGATACTTTAAGAAGATTAACTTAGATCTATTGATTGTTCACCACATTGTTGCCCAAACAGATTTTTCTCCTCTTCCTTTACTCTCCTTTCTATTAGTAGCATGCCCTTGGCTAAAAGTAGGGCTGATTATCAGTGAATTCTCTCTATATATATTTTGAGTTATTAATGACAACTCTTGGAACATCAAAAATCTGCAGTTAGAAGACAGAAATATTGGCCCAAACAAAGGTTGAAACAGGAATTGCTATTAGCTGTAAAAAATCCTCAGATGGCTTTCTTATTAAGCACCCATCAACAGGAATAATTATTTTAGCCAATCTTGAGTGATTACTGATTACTAAGTGCCAAGTAGACCCCTTTGAAGTTTCATAAAAATAATAATAAAGAATAGTCATTCATGTTTTTCATTTTATTGATATAAAAAACGGATTCTGGGGATGCCCTTGAGAACTCACAGAGAAAAAATAGCAAAGGTGATCAAGGACAGGGCGCTGGGAGCCAAGATGTGCATTGCTTCTATTGTACTAACTGGTAGTCTCTGTCAACACCAATTCACTCAGTTTAGTTTTATTAAATTTGTTGGAATTCCAGTTAGAGTTTCTAGGAAAATTGCAAAGCTGTATATGGGAAGTATAAGGCATTAGCTGTCAAGAAGCACTCATATCTTGGCACAAGTGATTTTATTCAGGTTTATTTTTTCTTCCACTTTTTCATATATTTCAGAGTAGGATTTAGACAGAAAAGACCATATCATTTAATTTGCCATTAACCTTTAGGATCCTGAAGGAATAGAAAGTTTGTGAGAAGGCCATGGCTCTTCTTTTTGAAGTGAGGCAGCACTTGGAAGAGGTAAGGGGAAAAAGTCTGGATGGAAATAAAGATAAGTACCGTAGTCAAATTCAAACTTGATTCCTTCCACCTGTGGTCTGGAGCTGCCCAGGACCATGAAAAGAGCACAGTGACATTTTGAGAGTGTGTTCATCAGCTTTCCATTACTGAGAAAAAATACTTGAGAAAATAAACTTGAAATGAGGAAAAGTTTATTTGGGCTCAGAGAGATTTTAGTCCATGGGCACTTAGCCCTGTTGCTTTGGGCCTGTGAATTGACAGTACATCAGGGTGGAGCACATGGGAGAGTGAACCTCATGACAGCTGGGAAGCAAAAAGAAGAAGGGGCTGGAGTTCAGCTACCTCGTTAAAGGGCATGACCCCAATGACCTAGCTTCCCTCTACTAGGCCCCACCTGCTAATGGTTCCATCTCTTCCCAGTAGTTGACCTTTGGAGGACATTCAAGATCCAAATTACAGGAGAGGGAACCACAAAATTATCGTTATGAATTAACTCCGAATATTTTTAAAGAGGGACCTCATAGGCAACTAAGATAATCTCATTGACTCTCTGTTGTTATACTTTAGGGAGAAATACTATTTTTCAAAATTGAGGGGGCAGAGAAGCCTCTGAAGTACCAGCTGGGACCAGGGGGTGGGGGTGGGGTAGACTACTGTGGCCTCAGCAAGACATTAAGAAACAAAAGTCTTTCTGCACTTGAGAGTCTAGGGAACTAAATTTGGCAGCTCTGTGAAACCTCTCACAGTGCTTTAGAAATATTAGGCATTCAAATAATCCTGTTTTATAATAAAATTTCACCTAAATTCCAAAATTGGATTTCCAATAGTGGAAGGAATTTGATTTTTAAATCTTTCCTTTCTTTGATGTCCTTATATTGTAGAGAACAATAGACAAAAAAGCATTGAACTGTCGATATATGTATATTTGGTTCTAGGATTTTGACTTAAATTTGACCTAAATTGACTATGTACCTTTGGGTAAATTATTTTGCTCTTGGTTAGTCTTCACCGCTAATGTGTGAGAATTCCTGAGTTGACACTAGGGGGTGCCCTCACCACATCTCTTACCCACAAAAGTCCAATTTAAGTCAAGTTTGCCTGAGGTTTCCAGCTTGTGTGTTTTACTAACTCTGCTACAGGGGTTGGTCAAGATTATTGCAAAAACAAAACAATAACCCCCAAACTGCAGTATTTTCAAACACATCTTTCTTAGAGACAGTTTAGAAATGAAATTAAAATAGAAAGTGTTCTAATCCCTGGCTAGTGTTTTTTGTTTGTTTTGGTTTTGTATAATCTATATTCTTAGGTACCAAAAGAGGGTGTTGTAATACCCTTATTCAGACTATAAGAGCTACGCCTTTTTCTTCTATTTAACAGAGTGTTTCTTTTTCTGTATAACAGAGCCAACTGGATCCTTTAATAATAATAATAATAATGGATAGCTATGTACAAATGTTTTATTATTAAAGCCAAATTACAAATAATTAGGAATTCTCTAAAATCTTAACAATTCAAAAAAGGCCTTTGATGTCTTTCAAGTTAAAAGTGTTACTTTCATTCATGACTTTTAAGCTTTGAAAAGTCCCTGAGAGCTTAAACCAAAGTAAATGGTATGTGAATGCATGGCTTTATTCTTGACTTAATTTAGAAGATCTTCTATTACATTACAGTTTCCCCTTCTGCTTTGGAGAAGGATGGGTCACATAAAAACAGAATGGAGGTCAATTAAGTGATTATTCCTGGTCTTCAAAGGTCAGGAAGGGAAATTGGGAACATTTTTTTTCCCACAAATCTCACTGTATATTGTGTGGGAAAGTTGATGCATAAGGGGTCGCTGCCAAGTAGTTTTGGCAAGTAACTGCTGCTGGTAGGAGGCTCTGGGCACAGCTTCTGGTATCTCTGGAGTCTTTTCCATGGACAAGAAGATCCTTGCTTAGTGACAGGCCACATGTGACAGTGAGGGAAGAGACAGATAACAGCTAGCATTTAATATACGTTAAAAAAACTATTCCCAGTGTTTTATATTTACTTAATCTATTTAATTCTCACAATAGCCTCATACATTAAAAAACACACCCAGAGAAGTATTTGCCCAAGGATATTCTAGTAAAAGGCAAAGTCAAGTTTCAAAGTGAGCCAGGATAGCTTCAAAATCTGTGCTTTCAACCACTAAGCTCCATCATCCCCTCAAATGACAGCAAAAGTGGTCACTATGTGCCATAGTGGTTACGCTGCCAGAAACTATTCTGAGAATTTTACCTATGTGGACTCTTAATTCTCACAACAATCTCATGATGTGGATATTAATATTGTCCCTATTTTACAGTCAAGGAAACTGGCATGGGTCAGTTAAAAAGTTAAGGAGCTGAGAGTATGCTTAATTAAAGAGCAAGCTGCTTCCTATTGAAGTCCCCGTGAAGGCTACTGGGAGGTGCAGACTTCAGCTCTGT